GGGGGGTCCGGGGGGGGTCTCGGGGGCAGTCTGGTCCCAGGGGTGCTGCAGCCTGGCCCGCGGGGGTCTCTAAGGGGTGTGGGGTGCTGGGGCCGCTGGTGCAGGGCAGCCTGGGGGTCGTTCAGTGCCTGACACAGAAGATTTGCTTTATTTTTTTTTATTTGCCCCCTTTGGGCAAGACGCTCGTGAAAGGAGGATGGGGGCCAGTCGGGGGCTCCGTTTTTGGGAACAGCGGGGACACCGCACGGGGAGACATGCCCCAGCCATCCCCATGACACGGTGTGCGGTGTGTCCCGCCTCGAGGGAGGTGCAGGGTGTTGGGGTCCCTCACCCCCCACCTCGGGCCTTGCTTGGCTGTGTCTGACAGCCTTGGGGCTGGGGTCGCTCCTGGGGGGCTGGGGGATCCCCCTTCCCATCTTCTCAGCTTGCTGCAACCGTGCAGCAGAGCTGCTCTTGTGCTTTGCTTTCATCCTGAAAATGAATCATCCCCCCCGCGCCGCCGCCACAGCCTGTGAAGCAGCGACACAGAACCCCGGGCGAGGGGCTGAGCTGTGTTTTCTGCAGCCTGTCGCTGCTGGGGAGGTCACAGCGCTGCCGGGGACCGTCCCTGCGCCGAGGGATGGGGGCTTGTGGCGCTGGAGAAGGGGGGTGGCTGCGCTGCCTGGGGGCAGCTGCCCAGACTGGTAACTGGCTTCTGCGGGATTGTCTCTAAATCGGATTTGTCCTGGAGTCTGAGCGGTGTGTGAGGTGAGGGCAGGGAGCCAGAACCCGAGCAGAGCCTGCGCTGGGGCTGCTGGGTGGCCCTTGTCCCCGGGCAGGGGGAGCCTGCCGGCACTGGGGACAGGAGAGGTCGGGGCCAGGCGCGGCGGGAGGAGAGCTCCAAGGAAGATGCATGTGATGGTCAAAACGTGGCTTTGACTCTGGTGGTCTGGGGGCAGCTGGGCCGCGGCCGAGGCGGTGGGACGGTTCAAGGATGAACAGTCGTGGCTGAGGGCGCAATCGTAGCCAGCGAGCGTTGGGACTGAGCTGATGGAGAGCCCTGAGCTGCCGGGCTTGATAAACCGCCTGTCCCAGCTTGCCCGACCTGATGAGCAACGGCTTTATCGTTGTGCAAGGTGCGGGGCTTGCAAGGTGCTGATCCTGCCACCGGAGCCTTGCCCGTAAAGGTGCCGAGCGCTCTGCTGGGACGGCGCTGGCCGCGCTGGCGGTGGCAGCGGAGCGAGGACGGTGCCGGTGGGCGGTTGGGGATGCGGTGGAGGAGCGGCAGCTGGCAGCACCCTTGCTATGTCAGCGCGGGCAGCTCTGGCTGCAGCCCGGGAACCGTCTGGATAGACGTGACCCGCCGAGAAGCGCTCACGTGCCTTTCCAGCCAGATCGGTGTCACGGTCTGCAGCACTGTGGGGCACGTCCCGCTGCCTGCTCCTCCCTGCTGCGTGCGGGCCGCTGCTCTGACCCTGCTTGCTGTTGTCCGTGAGTCTCAGGCTCGCTGCGTCTCCACAAAGGTGCTGCCTGACCTTGATGCCCGTCTTAGGGCTGCATGGAGGTTAAACTCGGGGGTGAGAGGCTGTCTCTGGCAGCCCTGTGTGCGCATCCCCGCCCAGGGGCGCTTGGGGCTGGACCTTGCAGGAGGACAGAGAATCCCCATCAAACATTTACTTGTTTGTTTGTGTCCAGGTCCATCAAGATGTTACAGGTACCGCTGCCCCTGGATCGAGACGGGATCCTCTTTCGGCTCCGTTTCACCACGCTGGCCATTGGGACTGTGTTTTGCCCGCTCTTTGGTTTCCTTTTCTGCGTGATCTGGTCTCTGCTGTTCCATTTCCAGGCGACAACAGCCACCCATTGCGGGGTAAGTGACTCTCATCAGCAAAATGTCCCCTGAGGGGCAGCTGCTCAGCTGGGGCAGCTGGTGGGGTTGCAGGGCTCCTCTCCTGGGCTTTCCCACCAGAAGTGTTGCAGGGGCTTGCACAAGCTGCTTTATTTTTTTGCATTTGTGATGCCTCTGGACTGGCCACTGAGGCTTTTGTGTTTTTAAAAGGGACCTGGGGAAGTGCAGACTGGTCAGGCTGTACTGAGCATGTTGGTGTTTGTGGTAAGGAATAAAACCAGTGAAGCTACAGGTAAATGTCTTGTGGAAGAGTTAGCCCAGCTTTTATAAAAGGAATTGCTGCCCTCAGATCTACTGGAGTTCTATAGAGGAGTCACAAGCACATGCCTGGGGGGCTCAGGTTGAGAGGGACCGCCTGGATTTGCAAAAGGGATGTAATTGGGGTCCCCCCTGCCCAGGGCTTTCAAGCAGCCACGGCACAAGGGTGGATAAGCAGCTGGATACAAGCTGGGAAGATAGGGCAGGAGTCATCCTGGCACCAGCGGGAGCTGGCCCCAGGGGTTTCTGGGGTCCGTGCTGTTCCTGGTGCCCCCACGCAGCGAGGTGATGCAGGCTGATGGCCGTGCCCGGCTCCTGGCACAAGGAGGGCGAGGCAGAGGCGGGGGATGGAGTGATGAAGCGCCAGGGTGGTTTGATTTGGAGAAATAAGTAACGTGCGTGCCCAGCGCGTGGTTCCGTCTCCGCCTCGTGACGTGGGTGCCTGGGGCAGGGCAGCAGGGACCTCTGAGTTGTGAGGCAGCTCCTGGGGGGGTGAGTGGGGGCTCTTCAGCTGCCCACGGGAAGGGGTAGTGGTCTGAGAGCGGGGAGGGGTGGGACGGAGCCCTCTGAGGTCCTGGCTGGGCTGGAGAGGGCAGGCAGGGATCCGCTGCACCCCTCTGCCAGGGTGAGGAGCGGAGGATGTTGTGTGGTGGCGTCAGGTTCTGCTGGAGGAACCAGCTCCTTGGATGCCGTGAGAGCAGCCGGTGTGGGGAACGTCCCTCTGCAGGACATGGCGGGGGCAACAGTGCTGCGGGGGGTCCAGGGGGGACCCAGCAGCATGGTGGAAGAACAAATTACCCAGTGTATAGGAACCGTGGCTGCTTGGGAGCTCCCTGAGCTGTGAAACTCTCAAGGTCGGGAGTTTATTCCGGGGGTGCATTGATGGTTTTCCTGCTTTTATATTTGTCCCTGAACACTGTCTTTTCTAGCTTATTAAAGAATTTCACCAGACTCTGGGTATCTCTCGGCTCAGAGTTGGGCCAGCACCTCAGGGAGTGGCCGTGGCTGACAAAAAACACCCTCTCTGGGTGATTCTACAGAACATTCTGCAATGCAGAAATCTTTGGTGTATTCCCCCAAACTCTCAGCTCTTCATTCTTCATCAATTTCCAAAGCCCGTTATATTCCCCAGCTTCAGCTGATTCTCATCATTCTGTTCCAATCCTTGCTTCAGTTTCAGGGTCATCTTCTGGATCATCATCTTCATCTTTCTTCCACTAGTTGTCATCTTGTGCAATTCTGAGAAAGACTTCAGGATGTCCTGTTAAAAGCTTGGGTAGAGCGAGGCGTTTCTATGTACCAAATTCTCTTAATCTAGCAGAGCACCTGTGTTTAGTCAATTAATCATCCTTTGTTAAAACTGTCTCTGTAGGATCAGCTTGACTGGTTTTTAAGCCAGCCTTGGGCTGGGACTATGCCAGCAGCAGGCTAAGAACACTTCTCAGGCCTGTGGAGCTGCGTTTGTTCCAGTTGCCTTACAGGAGCCCTCAGTCCTGAACACATTTCACTGGGCCTTAAAATCTATTTCAGACATACCAGAAGTTGTATTTAAAATTCTTCTACAGGCTGTTGCTGTCAGTTCTCCCCGGTGCTGGGCTGACAAAACCACTCACCCTTCTCTCCTCTCTCCCCAAACACGGGGGCAGAGAACACGCAGGGGGCCAGAGTGAGCACAGGGAATAAGGGTGAAAAGTGTGAATGACCGGTGTGAGGTTTGTGGTTGGACTGGGTGATCCTCAAGGTCTTTTCCAACCGATATGATTCTGAGATTCTGTCACCAGATTGTCCTGGCAGGCCCGGGGGCTGCGTGGTCCTGGGCCGTGAACCTGCGTTGCTGCTGTGGTACGTTTCCTGGCATTCGAAATAGGAATAAACTTGTTTAGGTAAAAAAAAAAAAAAAAAAAAAAAAAAAAAAAAAAAAAAAAAAAAAAAAAAAAAAAAAAAAAAAAAAAAAAAAAAAAAAAAAAAAAAAAAGCATCTCGGAGAGCTGTAAATCTGCCAACATGACACGCTCCCTGCGCCCCTCCCCACGAGGTGCTGTCTCTCCTCCAGGTGCCCAACTACCTCCCCTCCATCAGCGCCGCTATCGGGGGCGAGACCCCCCAGCGTTACGTCTGGCGCCTCTGCATCGGCCTCCACTCGGCCCCCCGCTTCCTGGTGGCCCTCGCCTACTGGAACCACTACCAGAGCTGCCACTGCGCGCACCCCCGCTACCTGTGCTTGTGCCACTTCAACCTGCTGCTCAACCTCCTCGAGAACTTCGCCCTCCTCCTTCTGACCTACGTGTCCTCTTCGGAGAACTATGGTAGGTGGCTCCTCCCTCGCTCTGCGCTGACCCTGGCGCCGGTGGGCTGGCTCGCGGCTGGCGAGGCTTTGCGGAGCTCTGCTTCATGCCAGTCTTCTGGAAGTGGTCAGTTTGGAGGGAAAAAACAGTAACAGAAAAAAAAAGCTCTATTAATTAGTATTAATAGCCCTAAAATTAGCATTTATCAAGCAAAGTTACGTCCATAATATGCAAATAACTGTGCTCTGCCCAGAATTCTTGGTTGCTGATAGTTGGACAAAACCATAGGCTGAAATTTTGTCCCAAGCTTAGGATCAGCCTTTAGTGCTTGGTTCAGCTTCACGTCTCTCACCGCAGCTGAGCGCAGGCAGGTCAGCACTCACCCCTGCTCTCCGCTCTGTCTCCGCTGCCGAGCTTTGCCTTCAGCTCTGAGCTGGCTTCCAGCCGCCCTCTGTTCCAGCTGCGGTTTAACACCCTCCTGCAGAACTGCCTGGGTAAAATTTCTTCTGTTGACCTGAAAACAAAATCACAATGTTTCAGGTTAAGTCAGTGTGTGTGAAATGCAGTCATGATAGGCTGGGAAGTGCTCTTCTCCCACATGGTCTCATCTGAAATGAATTGGCGTGCCATTGGCGATAGCCAGCCACTGCTTAATCCCGAGATCTGGAGGAGGCACCGGCCTTGATTTGAGAGGACTTGAAGCCCCAGGCCAGCGCCGTGGTGCTGCTGCAGCAGAAACAGACCCGGTTCTGGGACTTGTCAGCAGGAGAGCCCTGTGTCGGCTGTCCCTGCACGCAGCTCGACGATGATGACGGACGTTGTGTTGTCCCTGTGCGCGGTTTGATGATGATGTTGGATGTTGTGTCCGGCCGTGGGACCACGCTGGAGGACGTAGTCACAAAGAGAGGCCAGGCCAGAGCTCTGAGGTTTGGAGAGGTGCCAGTGAGGTTGACAGCAGAGGGGTTGTCTCCTCGCAGCAAGGGAGCTGAGATGAGGGGCAGGGGTGCAGCTTGTTTTGTGCCAAGAGTATCTTCCTACTCACAGGGGCTGAGGGAAACTCGCAACGGGTGGGGCCCTCACCCCAAAAAGGCCATTGACTGACTCGAGCATGGCCAGAGAAGGGCAACAGAGCTGGGGCAGGGTCTGGAGCACAGGTCTGCTGGGGAGCGGCTGGGGGAACTGGGGGGGTTCAGTCTGGAGAAGAGGAGGCTGAGGGGAGACCTCCTGGCCCTCGGCAACTCCCTGCCAGGAGGGGGCAGAGAGGGGGGATGAGTCTCTGGAGCCAAGGCCCCAGCGCCAGGCCCCGAGGGAATGGCCTCAAGCTGCCCAGGGCAGGGTCAGGCTGGCTCTGAGGAAGGATTTCTGTGCAGAAGGGGCTGTTGGGCGTTGG